GGAATGCTAGTAGTAAAAGCCCATATTGTTAACGGTGAAATATTTTCCAAGCCAGTGCTATCTAATATTCGCCGTAACGCGAATGTTGGCGAAATATGACAATTCATTGGCAACAACGTTGTCCGAGTATGGTTATATGCTGAGTGTATGTCAGAAACTACGTCGGTGAAAGGACGGACCTTCATTGACATGTGTAGAGTGCGCTGACGTCGGCTGATTATTGGTAAATGCAATGGCAGAACTTCAGTCCCTGGTTGGCTTGAACATCGGTCCGACATCGGAAGAAGTTGTACTTGACCGAGCAGCCAACCTTGGGCCAATATCGTGGTCAACATTTGCCGACACGGATCCAAGATTGGTCCAACGTCGGTGTGCTGCCTGGGAATTCTTCATAGAGTGGCTGACGACGATGAAGAATTGTGGCTTCAGTGTGTATGCGCCATAGTTAACAGGGGAATAAGGACAAGCCTTTGTAATTGGTTGGGGCAGTGGACGACACAGTCATTACGCTGTCTGCACTGTGCGACGACAGGTTGTTCTGCCGTTGTTTTAAAACTGTTTAAAAGTCGTATTAACGCGATTGCTTCCTGCCTGAGGCAAGTTTGCCAACAAGCACCGATGTGGCTCACTGGTAGAATACTGGGCTGAGACCCGGCGGACACGGTTTTGAGCCCCAGTGTGATTCGTGCTAGCTTTTTTTTTCTAATTTCACGCGATGTGGTTACGGATGGCGGCAGTGGCGGCGGACAACTGCGCGTGACCCTAGTTCTGGTCTCATAACAGCTCTCGCCATAGAAACCATGATAATTGCATCTGCGCCCTGTCCATCTTTCTACATAACTGAAACCACTCTACTTGAAAAAGTGTGACAAGTACGTGCAGTTTGGAGGATGCGCACACAACGGTACTGATAGTATTTTTTCTCCTTTTTTTGTAATAAACATGTCAGTCGCTAGTTCAGCGCTTGTTCTGTGTCGTCCTTCTTTTCCGTGTCGTAAATGCGCTGTTTTTTTACATCATGACGCCCTTACTACCACGCTGTTCATCACCACTGCACTCAGCCCTGCCCTCGAGGAAACATATTTCAGTTTGTTAAAGGGCAACAGAAGCAGCGCTGGCACATTCTGGAAATTTTTTTATGAATCTTGAAGGCTTCCCGAAGCTACCGTTTCCACCTATTCACATACCGACTTATCCCTGCAATCTTTGAAAGATAGTCGACATGGGCAGTCTAGAATGTGCGCGGCTGATAAAATTTGGGACGTCGCAGGCGTCCTCACGTAGGCGATCATAGAGATATCGCCCCGCGTGTCCGATACGTACGAGAGTGCGGATTTGGGTAAGCCCTTCTAGAACAGGTGCTAGCGTTAAACAAAAACCCTGGTCGACGTAGTGGAGCACGTGTATCTACGGCGATTTAAGTTAGAGAGAAAAAGAAAGCGATATGTATATGTGGCGAAAGAGAAAATTGAAGCGTTAAAAAGGCAAAGAAAGATGCAGAAAGCGAAAGAAGGAGAACAAAAAAGTGATTAAAAAACGAAAATATGCATAAAGAGAAATATACAGAACTAAAGGACAGGAAAAGACGCAGAGCGAGAGAAAGAGATGAAAACAGCAAAAAAGTAAAATAAACAGGGAAAGATAGAAAGAAAGAAAATATCACAGCATATACACGGAGGGAATGATGATGAGTGGGGTGAAGCGTTAGTCCGCCTGTCTGTAGATACGCTGAGCTGGCTACGACGCCAGAAAGAGGCGGGATCGCCCTAGACCATAAGTAGCTTCGACCCTCATCCTCACTATATTTTGGAGACACAGGTGTACGAACACAATGCAAATAGGAGACAAGAGCAAGCTGCCAACTCCCACCTTGAGAGGCACAACAAAGAAAGAAAGGGAAAAAAAAAAGAAGCAGGGAAGGTCGATCAGCTCGACTCCTCCTTGAGGCCTGGCACCGCTAGCATCCGCTAGTGCAAAGCTGCTACAATATTTTTTTAAGTGTGAATACACTTTATAAGTGACCCCAAACCATCCACCGCCGTCGGCGGCGTCCCCAGTCTTCTCTCTATATTTAAAGGAAAGAGGACTTGGCGGGCCGCAGCGCGACGCTCTACCGAATAGGCCACGGACGCGACGCTCATGTCGGTGTCACTAACGCGCCTTATACCCCCTTCCCCTTCGCTCGCTCCTCCGCTGTCCTCGCTCGCTGCAGCTGCGCGCGCACCCCTCTCTCGCGCGCGCCCGCCTTTTCTCTCAGTCTCCCGTCGAGAGCGGGTCGTGAGGGTGAGTAAAGTTAAAATTCGTTGGCATTCGCCAGTGAGTTAACGTAAAATTCCCTGTGTGATCAAATTGCGATTCCCAGGAACCATTATACAATAAAGGCATCATAGTGTGATTAATAAATACAATAGTGCGAATTAATAAATACCCCTCATAGCATCACCCCGTGTATTCGCACTTAACCATGTTCACCCTCGGGGAAATGCTTGAGAGTTTTTTTTTCTGTTAACGCACGCAAATAAAAACTAACTGTAGCGGAATGACGCACGTCTTCTGAGAACATTTGACGCTGGTTGCGCCCTTGCTCTTCACCCATGGGCAGTCTAGAACATGCGCGGCTGATAAAATTTTGGACGTCGCACGCGTCCTCACGTAGGCGATCATAGAGATATCGCCCCGCGTGTCCGATACGTACGAGAGTGCGGATTTGGGTAAGCCCTACTAGAACAGGTGCAAGCGTTAAACAAAAACCCTGGTCGGCGTAGTGGAGCACGTGTATCTACGGAGATTTAAGTTAGAGAGTAAAAGAAAGCGATATAAATATATGGCGAAAGAGAAAATCGAAGCGATAAAAAGGCAAAAAGAGATACAGGAAGTGAAAGAAGCAGAACAAAAAAGTGACTAAAAAACGGAAATATGCATAAAGAGAAATATACAGAACTAAAGGACAGGAAAAGACGCAAAGTGAGAGAAAGAGATGAAAACAGCAAAAAAGTAAAATAAACAGGGAAAGATAGAAAGAAAGAAAATATCACAGCACATACACGGAGTGAATGATGATGAGTGGGGTGAAGCGTCAGTCCGTCCGTCTGTAGATACGCTGAGCTGGCTACGATGCCAGAAAGAGGCGGGATCGCCCTAGACCATAAGTAGCTTCGACCCTCATTTTCACTATATTTTGGATACACAAGTGTACAAAGACACAGCAAATAGGAGACGAGAGCAAGCTGCCAACTGCCACCTTGAGAGGCACAACAAGGAAAGGAAGGAAAAAAATAAAAAGAAACAGGGAAGGTCGACCAGCTCCACTCCTCCTTGAGGCTTGGCACCGCTAGCATCCGCTAGCGCAAAGCTGCTACAATATTTTTTTGTTTTCTGTTCACGCATGCAAATAAAAACAAACTGTAGCGGAACGACGCACGTCTTCTGAGAACATTTGACGCTGGTTGCGCCCTTGCTCTTCACCTTGACGATGGCTCGGCTTTAGGAAGCTATTGGCCGCGAGATCGAGTAGAGTCGCCGCCTGGCGGCAATTGACCGAAGAGGCGAAGTGTGGATTGCTCCGTGCGCCGTCTGCTAGCCACGTCATGTTTCTATGTGCGCGTACGTCATTCACGTACTCAAAGTGTGGTTTGTCCCGTCATGTCAGCGCGAGTATAGTTGTTGCTACCTATGCCTCAAACGATGTACGAAAGCATTTGGTCTTCCTCAGCTGCTGATGCATTGTAATAAAATCCGCGAGGGCAACTTACCAGAGTGCTGTTCATTGTCATCTTAGCCTCCATTCACCGGAGTAATTTCAGAGCGGTTGACACATGCTGTTTCAAGCATATCGCAAAATGCCCTTGGCATCCTCCCAGACATCCAGACTATAAATAGTGTGTGAATGCAGCGTTTTATAGTGACTCGGTCGTAAAAAAAATGTCTCTAGGCCATGCACTTGTGCGCTTTTGGTAGGTGTAGAACTACCGCACCCTGCACTGTAGTTTATCGATCACGCGAGGAGCCTTAGATGACTTTATCTGGCCGTCGCAGCACAACATAGATATATTACTATTATATAAACTTTGACGCGTCGGTACATAAACTGCACTTAAACCAAAGTTACCATGCGCAGCCATGTGCTTAGATTTAAGAACGATTTGAAGAGCGCAGACGTTGGAAATAATTCAGATGACACGCCTTATATATAATGCCGTATATTTCTTCTGAAAATTTCATCAGTTTTGCATTGTCTTCAGCGTTTGTGTGGCATTATTAGTGACCAGCGGAAGGCAGTGGTCATATTTTTTTCATTCAGGAGGCCTTTGTTGTAGAGCCTTCATGCGCGTAGTACATCGATGAAAGCTTTCTGCTGAACTCAATTATTTTTTATATTCTCATTGGTGCGAAAAAAATGTGCGGTAAACGCAATATATCGCAAAGCGCCGTAGCCACTAAGCTTTCTTGTCTAGACTTATCGACTGTCCCACATTTCATGGTGAGCAGAAGTAGAGAAAACCATCATATGTATATAAGGTGCGAACGGTGGTACTGAATTTCTGTCGTTTTTTTTAGTATGCAGATGACACAGATGCGATTAAATAGTTCAGTTATGCTACAGCAGTGCATAGCAGACGAAACACTTGATAACCACGTGCAAACAACTCTGCAAAAGTGTGATTTAGTGTGAAAGCGTGAAGAGAGTCACCAAAAGTGAGCATCTCTATGAAAGGCAGAATGCGCTTTAGTCGCGGGTAATGCTAACTTTGCATAGGCGTCGTGCACTGATTCAGTAGAGAAAAGCGTGGATATTAACGGCAAGTTGCAGTCAACGTGTTTTATCTGCCAACAATCGGCTGAGACCGCATGGAACGAAGCGCCGCTGCGTGTATTTGTATCCACATATCCCCACGTCGCGGGAAAGGTGCTGCCACCTATAGCCCGATCCTGCCGCGAATAAATAGCGTGAACGCGCATGCGGGAACGCTTCGAATTATATCCTGCTTATCGCGTATAATAGCAATCACCACAGCGTCCAAGAAGTATGCATGCGCGTTAGTTACGGCAGGTAGGGGCAGCTTGTAGCCAAGTCTACAGCGAAGAGTAGTTTGAGATGCGCTCTGAAATAACGCCTCAAGCACTGTCATGGAAGAGGCCACTCTTTCAAGCAGTGTCGCAGCCGTGTACCATGAACGGCAAGTTCGATTTCGCAGGGCGGCTCGTCGCTTTGCCCTTGGTGGCTAGCCTTCTCATTCGAGCCTCTCGGTTATACGAGAAGGCCAAGAATCATTCGGTCTTTATTTCCGTACCTATGACAGCCGTCGAAACGACCGTTAGGAAGACCGTGTTGGTTTGCAGAGCTCTGCTCATGCCGTTGCTGTCGCGGCAGCTACTGTACGTAGAAGCACTGGCGTCTCGCGTCTTTCATGAAGTGCAGGAACGCTTGACCGAAGCCTTTTTCCAACCTGACGAGATCATCGCCTACGTCATCCTGATGGTCGCCCAACTGATGCTCTGTACCATAACAAAGGTTAGTGCAATGTTTCCGCTAACATACGTTTTATATTGCGACGTAATGACCCAAATATAGGTAACGCCAACGCTACTGGGATAAATTTAGACGACTTGCGGTTGTCCGCACACCACTTTAGCTACAGTGATTCCTTCTGAAAGGGTACTTGTAGTGAAGTAATTTTATAGGTGCCAGCCTCTGTATACTGTGTCGCTTAGTTCGGTGCCTCCCACTGTTCATGAGCGTGATTCTTCGAAACAACGAGCCATGCAACGATGGTAACTTGATTGCATCTGCAATGTGCTAACATCCAATTCTGTCGGTAGAGGCTTTGTCGACTGGCCACAATATCATAGGGCCCATAAGACATAATCATTTCTTTTAGATTTTGGATGACGATGAGAACTTCTGACTATCTTTAATACGGTGGTGGGTTGATAACAAGTAAGGGAGTGGCCGTCATTCAGACCTTTAAAGCTGCATACGGTGGCGCCTTCAGAACAGTGGATGTACGCGCCACAAAGCTACATGCGTATACTTCATACCTAAGGACAACTTTCTGGGCCACTGCATGTCCGCCGCAGCAGGGCGGGGCATCTGTCGTAGTGCTCGGCTGCTAAATGGAAGGTCGCGGGTTCAATCCTACCTACAGTGGTCACATTTTGACGGAGGCGAAATGGTACAAGCCCGGGTATTTTGTGATGTGAGTGCACGTTAAAGAACGCCAGGTGGTCGAAATTTTAGGCGCCCTTGAGGCGTCTCATATACATATCGTGGTTTCAGGATGTGAAACTCCGGGTACGTTCAAACTGCTTTGACTTAAAGCTACCACGTGGCTAGATGTACAGGCTGTTTCCCAAGGTCTCTTCGATTTATTTGTACCGGCGGCACCAGTTCAAGGGGTTCAGCACCTTTGTCCCCGATTTACTGCTGCCGGGCACGCGCTCTGCACTCCATGGCTTCCTCGTTTTGTCGCGGTACAAGCGCAGTGCTGCACGAGTTCTCTGCCGGCCTGCACTTGCTCAAAAAGAGGTGCAGCATGGCATGCGCCCCTTCCTCCTCCCAACCTTGGAGCAGACGACGCTGTGTTGTTCAGGGCGTGCGTGCAAACAAACGAGTCAAGCTCTTGCCACCGATGGTTAATCTGAGCTCTCTTATCGGCAGCTATTATAACTGATTCTTTTACATGTGTCTCCCATGAGCAGACAAATCCACCGTTGTTGTGCAGTAATTAGGAATCACAGGGAAAAAAGGTTAACGTATTAAAGATGCTGCTTGAGACGCAAGCTCACTTCGTCTTTACGAAAGCGTAAAACCGATGTGGTAGGAAGCCTTCAAAAAGACTGCTTTAAAACATGTATTCAAGGAAGCTTACCTACGTGCCTTATGTTGATATAGTGGGAAGAAAAGTGGCTCTGTTGGTTAAAGCATTCCCGGGATTTTTTTTTTCTTGCTCTACGGCCTCGCACGCACTTGAAGACTAACAATGCAGGGCCAAACGCTAAATTGTCTTTCTAGACAGTATGAACAGTCACTTGAAATCATGCTGACGGAACCGTCTGACAGCGTTCCTGCACCAGAAAGCATGACTGACATTGTCACGTACATCGAGCAAAGGACCCAGAGCACAAACCCCGTCAACACCTCCTCTGTTACTGTACAGATCGTCTTTGTCAGAATCATGAACGCTGTCAAGTAGTTTTTTTATACGGAATGAATACAGCCATCGCGATAGTGTTATAGTAAACAACGCCATCGATACACTGCCGCGTTGTCTATTCGATGAACTCCTCCTGCACTTTCTTATTCGTTTTGGCAGTAGCTACCGCGCTGTACTGTCGCTGGAGCACCTGCACTTGCTGAAACGGTGCTGCGCGCCCACAGCACCGCTGTGACACTTTTCAGAACAAGCGCAGAGCAGTGCAAGCCACATTCGAAGAGACCAACACTTAGGGAAAATCTCGAAGCGCGTGGCATCGTGATGCGGCCAGCGCTGCTACCACGCGCCGCCAGCCGCTTGTGCGTGCGCGGATAATTCAGGAGCGTAGTTTCAACCGCGTCGTCTCCTACGGCTGCTCTTGCATGCCGCGTTGCTGGGCAGCACACGGCATGCTATAGTGCAGCAACTGAGCCAATAATCTGCATCAAACGTTGTGAGACGCCAAAATCTCGGCCTTTGTGATAATGAGGTGCTACAAGCGGAATTTCACAGCTTGCATTGTTTGCTCTCTCGAAACGCCATAATTCTGCGTGCGTTCATGAAGTTTTCTTCACTTTGTGTACAGTGTCGTTCTTTATGAAAAAGAATGCGAGGCCTGCGTTCTGTGGCGGCTGCCTACAGCCCCATCAAACAACAAGGGGAGCAAGCACGTTCGCTTTCAGCGTCATCTATGGCCAAGCGAAATAACGAGTCATGGCCGGTAGACAAGCATTGCTAGATTTTTGTTCCCGCGGCGTGCGATATCGGGCGATTACTGCAGCTTGCGCCGTTGTCGCGCACAACGTTTGAAATGTTGGTTGCGGACTATGCACTGCAGGCGTGAGTAGAGATGGAGTGCAATTTAACAGGGCTTGTCTGCCGGCCATAGCTTGTTATTTATTTTCGGCAACAGATGACGCTGAAAGCAAACGTGTTTTCTTTCGGGGTCGGTTGATGGTGCCCTAGGCAGCCGCCGCCCAAAGCGTAGGCCACACGTTCGCATGCTCCCTTTCATAAAGCACGATAGTGTACACCGCAGTACAATTGGACGAGGAAGACACGACAATCAGCACTAATTGAGCGCGACTGCTGTGCTGGCTCAACACGATAAAGCAAATTGGAAAGTTGAACAATGTTTAAGGTGAGGCCAATGCCTGGACGTGTCTCTTCATGACGACATTTCATTTTTCTAATACTCGCTAGCCGACGCCGAAACGTAGTGAAGTCTTTACAACAGCGTTAATTATTCTTAAGGCGCACTTTTTCAGGTATACATAACGTGCTAAACAAGCTAAAACAATACAGTACTGCTTTTTTTCAGACAAGAAAAAAAGTCGACAAAACGTATGGCAGACGAACTCTTGTTTTGTTCAGCTCAATCTGGATCTTGTGATGACACGTTCCAATCGTGAACGAATGGGACATTTTGCGGAGGAACACATCACTGACACCATGCATTCACTGCAGTCAAGAATTAGCGTCATCATTGCCACCGCTGGGGACATGAACTTGGAAGCGTAACGAGTGCATTTAGGCGCAGGGAGCAAGTCCTTCCTGCTTTGATCAAACATCGTCTGGTGGTTGTTCTAGCCTAAATCCTTCCTGAATGTATTGTCACTTGTTTTGTTTGACCGACACAGATGCTTAGCGTTGACCACTGAGTGCTTTGATTAAGCTAGTCAAATAGGGATTACGCACGGTGCATGCTCATTATCGTGTCTTCTTTATCTAAGCTTATGGTGGCAGCCACACAATGAAGAAACATTCGGGAACGCACATAATGCCACGATGTTTTGATAGAGTGGTCAAGGTTTGCTGTCAAATACTTGTTCTAGTGCCCCATTATTACAAACAAAGGCTGAGCGGGTGGTATTGCACAACGTTTAGTGGAGAGAAGCATTGAAAGTTTGGAAACTTGGTACGAAACATTTGAAAAAAAAAACTGCGCATCAAGACGGGATACGAAGAAAGAAAGCATACGCTAGTTTGTTGTTCCTTGTTACTTCGTATCTAATATTGCGGCGCCGATCTTTCTGCAAATGATTAGTGCAGAGTATCGGCTTAGTTCTCGCATTAACAATGATATCCATGCGCTTGCCCGCAATGCAGCCCGCGTCCTGTCGTAGCAGACGACGTAGTTCAACCCTTGAAGCGTTTGCGCACGCGTGAGCTGCTGCCGGCACTCGATTGGAGCGCAAGTCACATCGCAATGCCAGGCGCTCCAAGAGTTCCCTAAAGTATGAAACAGCATGTACTTATGGATGCAACATTGAAGAAAAACATTACCACAGTTATGGCTCATTTCTTCTGCAAATCTCACCACATAACGCTGATCTTCCAGTGGTTCGAATGCGTGCGCAAACGAGTATGCACGCATTCTCGCAAAGCGAGAATGCGTTCGCAAAGAGAGTTTCTTTAAAACTGACTGAATTGTCTCTCGTGAACGAGCTCAGACAGCAGCTTTGTTGAGGCGATTGGTTTTACTTTTGAAAGTCGGAAAGGCCCGGCCAAGAAGGAACTCCGTAATTAAAAATTGCACGCAAAAGCAAGAAGCGATATCCTCAGTTACGGTGCCTTCAGGGTAGGAACTCTCGCTTTCTTTCTTCTGGAGACGCAAGAACTTTCTAGAAACGCGTACGTTATTTGTTAGGGGGACGGAAAGACATTGAGCCGTAGACATTGTGACCACGGCTATTCTGAAGAGGGCGTCCCGTTATTGTAATACAGAGCGAAATCGTGGCACACGCAATTGATCGTGGACTACGGCGCCCATCTTCATCGACTTCCGGTTCGAGACCACGCTGCCGTATACGAACAATCTTGTCTGTACCGTCGCTTTCCATGTCTTCAACCTAGCACTCGCGGCGCCTTTTCTCACAAATTGCTGCTCTATACTTTGGAGTGCTCTGCAGCTTGAATGACAAATGCAGTCACCACGAGATAGCTATAGCTTAAGATAGCTTAAGGCGTGGCTCTGTCCATCCTCGGCGTGTGTATGTAGCCACCCCTAGTTTAGTTCTTGCATTGTTTACTAGATGACGGAGAACGTTGTAATAAAATTCGTTCGCTGTTGGCGCGCCCTCGGAGTTGCCCGATAGATAAGGCCGCAGAGCGGCGGCAGCGCGTGCTCGCAGATATAATCCCGATGTGCGAGACCGCGAGGCAAAAGCGCTCCGTGAAGCTGCGCGACGCCGCCGCCAAGATCCTGCCCTACGAGAGCGGGAGGCCGAAGCGTGTCGTCTGGCTGCGCGTCGCCGCCGCCATGATCACAGCGTTCGAAAACGAGAGGCACAAGCGTCACAGCAACGGCGCGAGGGCC